CTGGCTTGCCAGATGCAGCTTTGTCACGCTGGCCACGTGACCCGGAAGTGTCTCCGGACAGCGTTGGCCCCCGGCCTCTTGAGTGAGATGGGCGCACAACCCTAGAGTCTGTCAAGACTGGCCCGTACGGGCAGGGGTACCTTTACCTTTACCTTAAACTGATTAAGCCAGAACAGGAAAGTATAAATTCAGCAAACAGGTGGATCCCACAGAACAAAGTGCCTTAACTGTTATTGGCTAGGCTAAAGAGGTGCATTTTTGGTATATGACAAAAGCTATACAATGGGACGTGGGTGGCGCTGTGGGCTAAACCACAGAGCCTAGGACTTGCCGATCAGAAGGTCGGCGGTTTGAATCCCCGCGACGGGGTGAGCTCCCGTTGCTCGGTCCCTGCTCCTGCCAACCTAGCAGTTCGAAAGCACGTCCAAGTGCAAGTAGATAGATAGGTACCTTCCGGCGGGAAGGTAAACAGCGTTTCCTTGCACTGCTCTGGTTCGCCAGAAGCGGCTTAGTCATGCTGGCCACATGACCCGGAAGCTGTACGCTGGCTCCCTTGGCCAATAAAGCGAGATGAGCGCCGCAACCCCAGAGTCGGCCACGACTGGACCTAATGGTCAGGGGTCCCTTTACCTTTACCTTTATACAATGAAAATGTTAAAGAGTTCCACAATCTAAAGGCTGCTACAGAGAAAACTCACCTTTACTCACACTTCTCAGTCCGCTCTGTTTATCTTAACACCTGAGAAGGATCATAGCGATGGAGGCAGTCTGTCAGATTTTGGGGACCTAAATCGTTAGAGCTTTAAATACAGGAGAATGTTTGAAGTTATCCTGAAGCTCAATAAGGGATAATTTTTTCCTAGTGTGTTCTAACATCTCACTGGATTCCCCCCCCCCATTCCCTCCCTCTCCAATTTGGTTCTATATTTTAAAAAAATGTTTATCTGCTGCAAATCCTCAGCATGAGCTTGACTAAAACCTAAACCAATTAGCAAAACAGTTGTGACAAGAAACACCCACCCACACACAATGACAATTATAGATGCATAGTCTAATCAGAAGTATGGCAAACTCGACTGAATTCACTAGGGCTTACTCCCAGGTAAATGCCTTTGCAGCTCTTAATTCCTGGAGGCACAGGCCGCAGTTGTCATAAAAATGACGGGCACTTTCATAATGCGATCAGATTTTGTGCCAATTATTTTCGACGAATGGCTAGAGGACATGCAAAACATTCCGTGCGCAAATGCAGCTTTACAGATTGGCCGCTTGGTGTCAGAGATGTATTACACATTTGCTGCTCATGTGCTATGACACAGGGCTTCTAAAATCAGACATGCTGTCTACTGTAACAACTGCTCTCCCATTTATTTGTGAGATGGTTCTTGCCAGCAGAGTGCCTTGTCCTTTTTATTCTGATTTCCATCCTCTCTGACACGCTCTGCATGCCTCATCAGTTTCCATTTCTCCCTCACCTTCCATTTTTTTATTATCTGTATATCTCTGAATGCTAACACAATACTAACTATGCAGCTGACTGAAAGGTATCTGACACAAAATGTTAATAAAAGATGTACTTGCTTCCCCTGAGGATGTTCTGTGTGCTCATAATTAGGCCTGTTTTGAGGGAAAACATTCATCAAAAAAGCTTTCAAATGGAAAAGGTGGTTTCTGCTGAAATGGTAAATCCCATCATGAAAAGATTGCTTTTGACTTCATGTCCCATTTGGCAAAATTAAAACTTCTGGTCAGCACACTGAAGGGAAACTTCTTCTTTTTTTAAAAAAAAAGTTTCAATTTCTTCACTAAGGTGAATAGTTTTTCAGATTTTGATGGAAACTGAGTTTTAAAATGGATCTTGACCATCTTCCCTGGTGCAGAGTTCTGGAGTGCTCAAAAGCTTGCATGCCAATTTGTGACATTTTCATTAACCTAATAAAGACAATGCTCCAACATGGATTTCAGAATGTTTTAATTGTGTTTTTTTAAATAAACTTCTAAATTGTTTAATACTATATTTAATACAATGTTTAGTACCATGTTAAGCATTTTAACTTTTTGATTGTTTGTTCTAGCTGTTTTACCTTTTTAATTTGTGTGGGTTTTTTGTAGTTTATTTTATTTATTGATTTATTGATTTTATAGGTAAAGGTAAAGGTACCCCTGCCCATACGGGCCAGTCGTGTCCGACTCTGGGGTTGTGCGCCCATCTCACTTAAGAGGCCGGGGGCCAGCGCTGTCCGGAGACACTTCCGGGTCACATGGCCAGCGTGACAAGCTGCATCTGGCGAGCCAGCGCAGCACACGGAAACGCCGTTTACCTTCCCGCTAGTAAGCGGTCCCTATTTATCTACTTGCACCCGGGGGTGCTTTCGAACTGCTAGGTTGGCAGGCGCTGGGACCCAACAACGGGAGCGCACCCTGCCACGGGGATTTGAACCGCCGACCTGACGATCAGTAAGTCCTAGGCGCTGAGGTCTTACCCACACCGCCACCCGCGTCCCATATTGATTTTATATACCTCCCTATACCCAGGGGTCTCAGGGCGGTTCACAGAATAAAATGAAGATATAAAATCACACAATACATAATAAAAATAAAAGTAACAACAACCCAATAACACCCCCGTTCTAAACAAAATCTGCCCTTCTTCCCTTATGGGGTATCCAAGAGCCTGTACAGAGTCCTTAAGTCGGGTCCCTATCGGTAGGAGAAAATAACAGAAGCTAACCAGAGAATATTGAAAAGCAAAGCAGCTAGTAAGCCTGATCTTTATTAAAGCTGTTGCAACAGGGTGCTCCCCTCACACGCAGGAGGACAGAGGAGGACCCAGAACAAAAGTGTGCCCGCCCTTATATAGACATTTTAAATTGCCCTCCCTGCAGTTCAAGACCACCCCCAGAAACATCATACATACATCACAGGAGGGGTGTAGCCCAAGACCACCCTCCAGATACATCATACCTACATCATAGAAAAGGCGGTCTACAACAGAAATCTGAGTGCGTTGTTTATCTCCTGTCTGGCAGGTTACCTATTAATGGTCACTTGATTGGATACCCCGGGGAGGCTGGCCAGTCTTTTGTAATGATAAATACTAAGTTCCTGAGCCAGGTCACAGGCTCACCCTATTCATACACAGACATACCCTTAAGACAGGGTTTGTGAAGGAAAAGACAATGGGGAGGCTTTTCCATTTTCCTTCAACCTTGCAGAGAAATATTTGAGGTCAATTTGGGAGGGACAAAATGGTTTCAGGACTTTTTGTGTGGGCTTACTTTCTTTGGGGGACCCCAAAGTTGTTGACCTTTCTAAGGAAAGGCTGCTCCCGCCCTCACACTGCTGCCCCATGCTGCTCACGCATGGCTGGACATCGGTTCTCGCAGTGGGATCATGGTCTGGGGCTGGGCAGCCAGGCACGATGGGGGTGGCACGGGAGGCAGGCGGGGGTCTCGCCCGGGCAGGGACAGGCGAAGCAAGCTGGGCCGTCCGCATCGCCGCAGCAGAGAAGCACGCTTACTCAGCCGCAGTCTCGTCGTCCTTGCTTGGGGAGGAAGGGAGGGGAGGAGAGAACGTGTCTGGGAGGGGATCAGGTAGGTGAAGGAAACGTGGTTCGCATGAAGGATTGTGGAGGTGGTGGGGGCAGCGGGAGGAGGGAGGGGCGCTGGGGGCAGCAGTTGCAGCGCGTAGCCTTGAGCGCGGGAATCTTTTGAGGTAGAATGGACGGGGGGAGCGGGAGTCACGTTTATGATGCGCAGAGTTTGGATTTGATACCCCGCTTTATCACTACCCGAAGGAGTCTCAAAGCAGCTAACATTCTCCTTTCCCTTCCTCCCCCACAACAAACACTCTGTGAGGTGAGTGGGGCTGAGAGACTTCAGAGAAGTGTGACTGGCCCAAGGTCACCCAGCAGCTGCGTGTGGAGGAGCGGAGACGCGAACCCGGTTCCCCAGATTACGAGGCTACCGCTCTTAACCACTACACCAGTGCTTGGGATGCAAGCACACACCACACAGCCGAGGAGGTGGTGTGTTGCGGAGCCAGCGGAAAGAGCTCCAGACTGCAGGAAAGCATCCGGAACCTTCCCGCCTCCAATGGGCCCTTGAGGCGTGCAGGCACCAAGACCCCGCTTCTCTTCGCTTACCTCTCCCCCCGGACTTTCTGCCTGGCGCCCTCCACTGCTTGGCGTCCGGGCTTGCCGTGCCATTACACCCAATGGTAAAGACATCCCTGGCTGTGTCCTGTGATCAGAAAACTCATGCCTCTAATCTGTTTAGGTAAAGGTAAAGGGACCCTTGAGCATTAGGTCCAGTCGTGACCAACTCTGGGGTTGCGGCGCTCATCTCGCTTTATTGGCTGAGGGAGCCAGCGTACAGCGTACAGTCATGTGGCCAGCATGACTAAGCCTCTTCTGGTGAACCAGAGCAGCGTACGGAAATGCCGTTTACCTTCCCGCCAGAGCAGTACCTATTTATCTACTTGCACTTTGACGTGCTTTCGAACTGCTAGGTGGGCAGGAGCTGGGACTGAGCAACGGGAGCTCACCCCGTCGCGGGGATTCGAACCGCCGACCTTCTGATTGGCAAGTCCTAGGCTCTGTGGTTTAACCCACAGCACCTCCCGCGTCCCTCTCTAATCTGTTTACTGTGGCACAATTTTCCGAAATGGCAAAGCACGGCTGTGTCTGATGCTAGACTCAATGAAATTGGTATCACCGGGTATTATATTATTTCTTCCCTGATGAATTTTCTGTCACATTTGTTTGATTTATACTGGATGCCCCCCTCCCCCCAGGGCTGTTCATGTTTACTCATTTTAGTATATTAAAATCATGTTATTCCTCCCTCTTCCACCAGGACTCGTAAATGATTCTGCAATTACAATGTAAACTACAAACACTCAGAGACACTCCCACCTTTTCCTCCATGCATACAAAATTAAAAGATGCCATAAAAAAAAACTAAGGAAAAAGATGTTTTTTTATTTCATAATTTGAAAGGCAAATCAATTTTTCAGGTAAACAGATGTAACATTTGATTCACAAAATTGCCGTCCATTTTAGCAGTTCAGCGTTCCCGAGTTAGAGATCTATCTAATTTTAGTTTGTCATACTATCAAATGTGATCATTTTAAAGTCCATCCTATCATATCCCCTCATTCCACGTTGACTGTTGCGTGGTGGTCTGATGGCTGCCTTTAAAAACATGCTACATGCATTGAAAATGGGGCCATAAATACCCCTAGGAATGATGTGACATGATGTTGTCTTGTCCGCCCATCTGTCTCCAAGATATTGTATGGAAGAAAGATGGCTGCCTCCATGGACAACTCCCATGATCCCTAGCTAGCAGGACCAGTGGTCAGGGATGATGGGCATTGTAGTCTCAAAACATCTGGAGGGCCGAGGTTGAGGAAGCCTGATGTAAACACACACCACAAAGCAATATCTCCCTGAAGCATTCAAGGGAGTTTTTGCATTATAGTGTGCTTTTCACATCACTCTTGGCTTTCTTCAAAACTTGTGGGTATCAGCTGAGGTATCCCAGTAAAACTTCACAGGCACAGGTAGCAGAATTATCTGTTTAAAGTTCAGGTGCTAGTTTGACCCATTGCACCCATTTAATAGGGTCTGGGGAGAAGAAAAGATGCAAAATACATTGCAATGTCATTATAAGGCCACTTAAACACTGTATTTCATTGGAAGAATATGTTGTCCAAATTCAACCCAGCTTCAAAACTGCACAGACCCTGTTAGATTAAACCAGAGATGAGAAGGGAGGAAAGAATATGTCTATTCTGCCAACAGCGTCTATCAGTTCTATTGCAAACTGCCCTGTGATCCTCAGGTAAAGGGTGATCTAGATATTTAATAAATGAATAAAATAAATAAATAAATTGCTGAAACTATTGCTCGTACATCCTGGGCTCTTGGTTGTAGAGGTCTGTGCTTTAATGCTCCATGCCTGAGCATTTTTTATTTTTTTGTTTTGCCCTGAGCTTTCCTTGTGAAAACCCGCTCTTTAGCGCTCAATCGGAGCAAACGCCAATTTGGGTTTTCCGTGGATGGGTGTTTGCTCTGATTGAGCTTCAGAGAGTGGGTTTTTGCAGGGAAAGCTCTGGAGCATAACAAAGGCGCTCGGACATGGAGCTTCAAACTGCAGCCTGATTGGAGGAAAGAGAGAGGAATGGTCAGTGGTGCAGCAATAAAACTGCTAGCAGATTTGCAAAGCTAAGCAGGGTCTGGTATGGTTTCAAATTGGATGGGAGACCATGTGTTGAGATTCCTGCATTGCCAGCGGTTGGACTAGATCACCGTCAGGGTCTCTTCCAGTTCCACAATTCTATGATTCTCTGTCCATAGTTACATCACTTAAATCTTTCATATTATAAATGAATGACAAAATATATGTGCAGCTCTTGCAATATGAAAAAACCCACTAGATGGTGATCTTTGTTAACAAGATGTTTCCTTCTACACAGCTGGGCAAGTTTAAGTTCTCCCACCAGTTTTGCTGGTGGAGAGTATATGGGAGTAATTCATCACAAAGCCATTAATTCAATCAGTCCTGATTATGTTGCAAAATGAATATTTTATATGATCATATTTTATATTAACAGATATGCTCTCATAGAACTGGTGATTTTGCAAAATTGCTTTTTAAACTTTATGGATCTTTGCAGTATTAACAGGATCATCCTTGTATTAGAGCAGCCATATCTGGACTATGGTGAAAGGGCAACTGCAATCATTAATTAAAAGGGGATAGCAGCTATATAAAAACAATCAACTAAACAATTATGCTTTACAGCTTAAGCACCATGAAATTAGCAGTGAAAAGAAACATATAAAAAGGGGGCAAACATTTCAAAGGGTGGCAACAGATAGCACAAACCAGGATGTGCGAGAGCTCAGGAGTCATGTGATGCAGGACAGTCAATCCCACTGTATGTCGCAAGAACAAATTAAGATCCCCACTGGATCAGGACCATTTAATCAAAGGATTACCTAATACACAGTGACAGCAGTCATGAAATTAAAAGACGCCTGCTTCTTGGGAGAAAAGCAATGACAAACCTAGACAGCATCTTAAAAAGCAGAGACATCACCTTGCCAACAAAGGTCCATATAGTTAAAGCTATGGCTTTCCCAGTAGTGGTGTATGGAAGTGAGAGCTGGACCACAAAGAAGGCTGATTGCCGAAGAATTGATGCTTTTGAATTATGGTGCTGGAGGAGACTCTTGAGAGTCCCATGGACTGCAAGAAGATCAAACGTATCCATTCTTAAGGAAATCAGCCCTGAGTGCTCACTGGAAGGATAAATCCTGAAGCTGAGACTCCAATACTTTGGCCACCTCATGAGAAGAGAAGACTCCCTGGAAAAGACCCTGATGTTGGGAAAGATTGAGGGCACAAGGAGAAGGGGACGACAGAGGACGAGATGGTTGGACAGTGTTTTCGAATCTACCAGCATGAGTTTGACCAAACTGCGGGAGGCAGTGGAAGACAGGAGTGCCTGGCGTGCTCTGGTCCAGGGGTCACGAAGAGTCGGACATGACTAAATGACTAAACAGCAACAATACACAGTATCCAGCCTCCCACAGTGGACCCCCAGATGCCCCTTGGAAGTCCACATAAGCAGGGCCTGAAGGCAGTAGTGCCTTCTTCTTTCTCTGGCGATCACTCGTAGCTGAGTAAGATTGTCTTCCATAAAAACGCTTTTAACAATGAGTCCATTGGAGATGGCATTTATAAGTGGTCCATGTTTCACAAGCATACAGTAAGGTTGGTAGTGTGCTTTGTAAACAACATAGCTTTTTAAACAAAGCAGTGCCTTACCGCAGGGATGAGTGTCCAGTGTCATACTGCCTCTGATCTTGGAATTAGTATGCAGCCATTATGACTCATGGCCATTGATAGCTGCATATCATCCAAAATCCTGTTATGTAGCTCAGCCTTGCCATTATCTGCAATAATGCTAAGCTTTCTAAGATAATCTGAAATGGTCAAGATGAAGATGAGGCCTTTTTCACTCTTGCATCATACGTACTTCCTTTTGAGGTAGTAGGTACCTGAGCTATATACAAATAAGTATTTGAATTTCGGACTTAACCAGAGGGCTGCTATTTTCCAGGGACAGTCCCAGATTTACAGAAGCCATCCTGGTTTCTGAATTGATCCCAGAATGTCCTGCTTTTCCTTAGGACGTCCCTATTTTCATCAGATAAATGTTGGGTGGTATGGAGTTATATGACCCCCGAGCCAAAGAGATAAGTAACTATACAACCTTTAAAAGACATCTGAAGGCAGCTCTGTATGGGGAAGTTTTTTTTAAAAATGTTTAATATTTTATTATTGTTTATATATATGTTGGAAGCCACCCAGAGTCAGGTGGATGGGGTATAAATAATAAAATGATAATGATGACGGATTAGGATGTCCCTATTTTCAGCAAGGAAATGTTGGAGGGTATGGGGCTGTTTACAAGCATTTAATGATCAACTAGTCTTATAGGTTCTGAAAACCCTCCCCAAGCAATAAATATATGTGAAGTCTTCTTAAAATAAGCACAGAGGGGTTTTGACACGTTTCACTGAGCAATACATTCCAAAATGTTTGGGGCTGTAACCGAGAAGGCCTTGTCCCTTGTATTTCTTTCTTCCTTCCAAAGATGGCATTCCAAACAGGATTCCCCTAAGTCCCTTGCAAATTGTTTGGGATTGCTCAAATAGAGAAATAAGTAGTCTTGTCTCCTAATAAAGAATCTCACAGTCCTATTCAAGCACTTGAAGACCAAACTTGTGAGACTTTTGAGGGTAAGTGGAGAGTTTGTTTGAACCCTGGGTGAGTAAAAAGGGGGTGTGTAAAAGGAAAATAAACTGATACTGATTTTTATATACAGTGGTACCTCGGGTTACATACGCTTCAGGTTACAGACTCTGCTAACCCAGAAATAGTACCTTAGGTTAAGAACTTTGCTTCAGGATGAGAACAGAAATCGCACGGCGGCAGCGGGAGGCCCCATTAGCTAAAGTGGTGCTTCAGGTTAAGAACAGTTTCAGGTTAAGAACGGACCTCTGGAATGAATTAAGTACGTAACCAGAGGTACCACTGTATTAGTAACTTTTCATTAATGTAACATTTTATATGTAACTGTATTTTTGCAATCTTTTGTTAACGTTATCTGTCGTTGCTTCAGTTTTTTGAACACCGCTTAGAGATATTTTAAAACATATTAGCCCATACCACAGTTAAATCATAAAAAACCCAAAATCCTTCCCACCTGAGCCCCTGTATTGCACCTGGCTCTAGCTGATGAATCTTGGAGGTGTGGTGAAAAGCAGCAAAGCAGATAATACAAGCAGAAGTTGGCCTCTCTTCTCTACACGGATTGTGCAGGTGTCAGGTGAAAAGAACAAAGTGAATCTCGAGAAGGAAGGCTAAGAAATGATCAGAAAACAAGTATGATAAATTTGCAGGGCTGCACTGACTTTGCATTGAAAAGAGCACTGGCTGCGCTGTGCAGTGCTTCATATCAGTCTTTTTCAGCTGACACCTTGGTAAAATACACTTTTCTTTTTTAAGAACAGCACCTAAACTATCCTGTCGTTTCATCTCCAGTGGATACCCTCCCCGCTCTCTCTGAAACTGTATATTTGTGATACGGGTAGCAAGTTGCAAAAAAAATGATTGATAGGGATTCTTTGAAGGTTTTCAAGGAATTAAGCAGCCTAGTTGCAAGTATTTGATACCTCAAACACAAGGAAGAGGAGAGAACTCAATCAGACAAGCATCCTTATGGTCTACAATGTTCTCCAAAAGGCGTTCTGCTGTGCTCTCACTGTTCCCCCACAAGCACGCAATATTGCGGACTGTCAGTACAGAGATGTGCTGTTGGTTTTCTGCCTTACGCACCAGTCAGAATGAAAATAGGCAGCGTGCCAACGCATCAACAAAAAGCAGAAGCCCTCATTTACAATCGAAAATGTTGCCGCTTCAAAAAGCGCAGGCAGCATATGTTGCGGAGCATATGAATAAATCAAATGCCATCCGCAGCTAATGAAACACGCTTCAATATGCTTAACTCCAAATTACTTTTGATTAAAAAGCTTACTGGGGGGACCAATGTAAACCACTGCTAGGTGCGCTCTCCTCAGAGTTATGTCCTGAATCTAATTTGAAACGGATAAGAACCAGCAATTCATTTCCTGTGCATTTTTTTATATATATATTATAAATAGCAATTGCAAGTGTGTCATTCAAACTGCTGGAAAGGCCTGTATGTTTAGCAGAGTCATCATGCAAATGAAGTTCAAGTGATTTAATATGCTCACCATCTCAGGTAGATATCTTGATCAATGCTGTGTTTTCAGCGATTGAACAAATGGGCTACGTCGGTGAAGTGTTTCAAGCTATTCTGATTCTCTCCGCAAAGCGTTCAATGCAGGATATACCTTTAGCACAATAAGCAAACAGCGAGGAGTGATTAATGGACAGATTTCGGCAACGATGCTCATAAGAGTAGCTGCAGGGGTAGAACACACTGGCAGACATGAGAGAAAATTTACACTGCAATCTGTATAAATGCACGGCTTAGGTTTAGGTACTCGGCGGGGTAGTGTAGCAACTCTGCCCCCCTTGCCACATGGTAAGCCTTTTTGGAAAACCTGTGAGAATAACAAAAAGCAATGTAAAGAGGTAAAAGCTTGCTGGGAAATGATATATAATGAGTTAAAGAAAATGTTTAAAAACACATTTGTTAAAAACAAGAAAATTTTCCATTGTGCAGAGTGGATAGACAAGATAAAAAATTGTTCTTATATGCAACAACTGCATCAAGAATTTTAGTTACAGGTAGGTAGCCGTGTTGGTCTGCCGTGGTCGAAACAAAATAAAAAAATTCCTTCCAATAGCACCTTAGAGACCAACTAAGTTTGTTATTGGTATGAGCTTTTGTGTCGAAAATCTAATCTCCCTATAAGCAAATCAGGATAAATGTTCAGTAAACGTGTCTTCTGGCGCACCCTTTCTGTGACATCAGCCCAATCTGTGACATCATCATATGAGAACAGTCACAGCCAGAGGGCTGACAAATATACTTGTGGCATAAAGCCAATACTTACATGACGAAGCTGGCATGTTCATAACATGGGCTGAGTGGCTCTCCAGGCTGTGTTGAAGCTGGCTAGGGAAAACTGGCATAATGTTTCGGGATGGCAGACCTAGCTTCTTAGGATCTTGGGTTTCTGTGCAATGATGATGATGATGATAATTTATTATTTATACCCCACCCATCTGGCTGGGTTTCCCCAGCCACTCTGGGCAGCTTCCAACAAAAGATTAAATACAGTGGTACCTCGGGTAAGAACTTAATTCATTCTGGAGGTCCGTTCTTAACCTGAAACTGTTCTTAACCTGAGGTACCACTTTAGCTAATGGGGCCTCCTGCTGCCGCTGCACAATTTCTGTTTCTCATCCTGAAGCAAAGTTCTTAACCCGAGGTACTATTTCCAGGTTAGCGGAGTCTGTAACCCGAGGTACCACTCTACATTAAAACATCAGTCATTAAAACTTTCCTAAACAGAGCTGCCTTCAGATGTCCTCTAAACATCAGATAGTTATTTATTTCTTTGACATCTGATGGGAGGGCATTCCACAGGGCGGGTGCCACTACCGAGAAGGCCCTCTGCCTGGTTCCCTGTAGCTTTGCTTCTCAGTGAGGGAACCGCCAGAAGGCCCTCGGCGCTGGACCTCAGTGTCCGGGCAGAATGATGGGGGTGGAGATGCTCCTTCAGGTGTACTGGGCTGAGGCCGTTTAGGGCTTTAAAGGTCAGCACCAACACTTTGAATTGTGCTTGGAAGAGCATCCTTTTGCACACAGAATGTTCCTGGAAGCTCCAGGTAGGGTTAGGAATCACATCCACCCTGAACATTTTTTGAAGAATTACAGCTTTTCCCAAAGAATATTGGGAACTGTGTTATGCTAAGGGTGCTGACTTCTCAAAGTTACAATTCCCAGTACCCTTTAAAAACTGCAGTTCTTAGGAGTCCCCATGGCTGTTAAAGTGGTACAAGAGTGCTTTTCATCTTTGGTGAGGATAAGAATTGAGCTCAGATAGAATTGATTAGCACACGACACATTGAGTCCCTTGGCCTTTCCCCACTTGATGGGCAAAGTCACGCTTTCTTGCTATGGGGTGGCAGCTGCTGCACACTCCAGAAGGTTAGGGTGACCCCAAGAAAGGTGCTTTTTAAATGGGGAGCAGTCATATTTTGGTCTTGCCCAAATTGTACACATATATCCAACTCAGCTGGGGAGGAATCCATGGGAAATTTGCTCACCACAATCCCGTGGGATACTTTTGATTTGAAAAGCTGACTGGGGGAAATGTAAACCACTGCTTTTCAGAGTAATGTGCTGAATCTAATTTGAAATAGATAAAAACTAACAATTCATTTCCTGTGCATTTTATGTTTTTATGCTGTATCTTGAAATGCTCCTGGTCTGGAAATATTTGCACATTAATCCAGCTGTAATGAAACTGACTAGTTTGGTTATTTCAGAAATTCATGGCTAGAGCATTAGACCCGGGTCCCCTGCTTTTTACCCTTTCAGATTGAACAAAATCACTTTGCATCATTCAGTAAATGTATGGAAAAGCAAGAGAAGCTAGGACTTACTACTCATACAAGAAATGTGGCCCAGGAACATCAGAGAAGCAAATTGGTGAATGGGGAAGCTGGTTTGGAACTGGGTTCAACAATACATTTGCATTAAAAGGTAACAACAGAATGCACTCTGAAAATGTCAAATTTCATAGATGGTTGTACGACCTTTTTTTCTTGTAGGTGTCTCGAAGGAAGCTGCTCGCTGCTACAAATGTTTTCAGCTCTGTTTAGCTGTCATGGCTCACAATGAACCAAGCAATCTTGGAATAGTGCATGGGTAGGCAACCTAAGGCCCGGGGGCCGGATCCGGCCCAATCGCCTTCTAAATCCGTCTCGCGGACGATCCAGGAATCAGCATGTTTTTACATGAGTAGAATGTGTCCTTTTATTTAAAACGCATCTCTGGGTTATTTGTGGGCCTGCCTGGTGTTTTTACATGGGTAGAATGTGTGCTTTTATTTAAAATGCATCTCTGGGTTATTTGTGGGGCATAGGAATTCATTCATTTTTGCCTACCAATGCCCTGCACTTTCCAGAGCACTTCCCCCTCATTTTTCATACAGCAAAAAGTCCACTTTTAAAAAATAAATAAATGGGTTTGTTGCACAAGAATGCAAAATCCACTTCAGTTGTGCAGTATGAACTTCCTAGTATGCACTTGAATTCTGCCTGCAAAATAGTGAAAGCCTAGAAGTGGCTTCTGTTAATCTTTGTGCTACTTACTAGCAGAAGTTAGCTGAAGCAAACAGGCATTCCTATGACAGATTCCCCAGCAGCAGCTGATCCAACTATTCCCCCCTCAAAGGCTGCATGCACCCCAGTTTTTCTAACTGCAGCTAATTCTCTTCTCTCTCTCTCTCTCTCTCTCTCTCTCTGTCTGTCTCTCTCTTCTCCATATTCAAACTGTATTCATTAAGATTGCTGGGAACCTTTTCCACGTGTTTATCCAATAAATTATCCAAAACGAATGGATAACTTTGCCTTTAAATCTCTCAGCCCTCTACTACCCCCAAACCTCAATGTAAAATGTTGCTCTGTACATACACATCTTTATGTGAAGCCTGAGGCTTTGGGAATAGCAACACACACACTTAAATCAGTATTCAGGGAGAGCAAACAAGGAGAGCAGTGTCTGGATTGCAAGCAGCTCCCCAAGGCATAGAAGGACTGAGACATTCGCAACTGTCTCATGTCCTTTTTATAACACAAATGGAAATAGTACTGTGCGGATGCAAGGAAAGCACAAACATATGATACAGTACTTTAAAGAAGGGGGAGCCCAATGGCCTGGGCGTGAGGGATCCTTCCCAAACCAAGCTTTTGGGAGTCTGGACTCCCCCAGGGCCAGATTTAGGTTTGATGAGGTCCTAAGCCAGGCATCCCCAAATGCCGCCCTCCAGATGTTTTGGGACTACAACTCCCATCATCCCTAGCTAGCAGGACCTGTGGTCAGGGATGATGGGAATTGTAGTCCCAAAACATCTTGAGGGCTGAGTTTGGGGATGCCTGCCCTAAGCTACTGAAGGTAATGGGGCCCTTTATATGTCCATCTCTCCTTTGTCAACAACAAATTGTTGCTGTTTTTTTGTGAGTATATGCTATATGATAATTTATGGACCTAATAGGTATCTAAAGCCATTTGCACACAACAAAATATGTGTTTTATCAAAGTACCGGTAATTGCTGAACTGAAATATAATTAAGAAGAAGTATATTAATAGTGAAATAATTATTAAGTGCTAGCTTAAAATGATTTTTTATTCACAACGAACTTAATAATGCAAACACACTGGCATTTGGCAATAACAAAAGTTCATTTAGAAGCACTCTTTAATATTAGATAACAGGTACAACAACTTGACCTACATTCAGCTGTGCTGCAGTCTGCAGCTGCATGCTACATGTTGTAGTGCAACCAGTCCATGCAGAATGTAGGCACCCTATATATAGAAATGAGCAAATCAGTGATATTTTAGGGAGCAGGCTAGCAGGCGGGGCCCATGACTTACATCATAGGAGCCTACACAACACAAAACACTGTTGCTGTATGTAGGTTTTATTTTATTTGTTTTTTTAATCTTATATTTTGGAAATGTGCATCCAAGTTTTTCCCCTTTAATTTTTTTGGGAGCCCCCAAGAGAGTGGGGCCCTAAGCTAAAGCTTGTTTAGCTTATATGTAAATCCGGCACTGGGCATCCCCAGCTATCAGGTCTCTGTTTTGCTTGTGTGGAGTATTCCCCAAGTGGACATGCAGAGTGAATTGACAGAGGCACTAACACCTGAACTGAACACAGTCCGAAACTGAACTTGGCTTCCTTCTTCATATTAATATTTTTGAAAATATTTATAGTCCATCATATGGCTCAGTACAGTGGTACCTCGGGTTAAGAACTTAATTCATTCTGGAGGTCCGTTCTTAACCTGAAACTGTTCTTAACCTGAGGTACCACTTTAGCTAATGGCGCCTCCCGCTGCCGCCGCACCGCTGGCGCGCAATTTCTATTCTCATCCTGAAGTAAAGTTCTTAACCTGAGGTACTATTTCTGGGTTAGCGGAGTCTGTAACCTGAAGCTTCTGTAACCTGAGGTACCACTGTACTGTTGTTCTCCCCTCTGCCTGTGAATGTAGCACCTCAGATGTGTGGTTGGGGAATAATGCGTGTAGATATCGTCGTCATCATCACAATCACATTTATTACTCACCCATTACCTGCAGGTACCAGGGCAGGTTACAACAATTTAAAATTCATAATTGAAAACAGTTCAAAAAGATCACAGCCACAGGTCCTGAAAACACACAATTCAGGTGTCAAATGTTAGACCTTCACTGAAACCTGTGAAGGGGCTTTGAACATACATCCAGTTTTATTCTCCCAGATATAAATCGCAAGGAGGGAATGTATTGGGAAATGTTTAATGTTTGATGTTTTACTATGTTTTCATATGTGCTGTAAGCCACCCAGAGTGGCTGGGGAAACCCAGCCAGATAGGTGGGGTGTATTATTATTATTATTATTATTATTATTATTATTATTATTATTATTCCACTACTTAGGGCTGGCACAGAGAAAGCCCTCTCCCAGGCCACCCCCCAAAATACTTATGAAGATAGTGATACAATCAACAGTG